AATATTTCAAAGTTAATTTCAAAATATGTGAAAATGTTATAATATTTCAGCAAAATATACTGATCGTACCACACTTTTTATTAAATGATTGCAGACGTAGTGGTGTATGAGAAACTTCTTTCATTAAAAAAAAACGTTTTGATGCTTTTTTCATCTAAGAAGGTTATTATCCTCACATTTGGATTGTCTTACTCTTTTCACCACTAGAAATGCAACGATCAATCGATTTTACTAATAACCTTACTTTAATTCATCACTGTTATCAATTTCACTATTAACCTTATTTTAATTAGTCACTGCTAATTACTCATAAAGGCTCAACACCGAGTTTCTGCATTGAACAAAACAGCTGCAACTGAAGAAAGTAATGCCAACTGCACGCTAGTTTAAAGTTTCAAGCTTGTACACCAAGGATAATATGCACACACACTGGATTAGCTATGTCTGACTTTTAACTAATAATGCAAGTTCGTGATTTCTGTTCTTCCACACATATTGGGAGTGATGTGCACAAGGCACAACATGCACCTAGTTAAACTTGAAAAAATGGTGCAAGCGCACCGTAGGTCATGTCATGTGACAAGACCTGAGCCAATTAGCTTTATACTTTGTATGGAATATACACATTTCTACTGCAAAGAGAATAAAAATATAAAAATGAAAATACCAAACAAGTTCATAATATAGTTGATCAAAATTGCCTTTCAAACAGAGGTTCAGCAGCCTTTGACTACATTTGTTCTCTTTAAAAAGGGAAATACTTAGCTAATATAGTGCTAAGATTTACCTTAGACAAATACCATTTTTATTTTATTTATATTCTTATTTTTATTTTTTTTATTTACTCATTTTTCTGTCATTTTTTTCAGTGTAAAATTATTACTTATGTTTAAACGTCAACAACTTTTTTTTTTTAACTTATTTTTAAGTGCAAAGACAAATGGACTATTGTTTGTTTTTATTATTATTTTGAGCTGTATTATTTAGTTACTGAGCAGCAATAAAACAAACACTTTAAAATTTAAAGAGTTTTCATGAGATTTACTAAATTAGTAGTGTTTTGAAATTAATGAATGCATAACAACTGTGATAACCGTGAAACTGAGATTATTCCTCAGACTATAACCCTACAACCTAAATCTATAATCGTTGCATCCCTATTCATCATGATACCACAATACAATTTTTTCTCTAGATTGTCTTTCTGATCTATTTGAGTACATACAGAGAGAAAACACATGCGATAAAGCCGAAAACTAACAAATCAAACGAATCAAGTAATCAAATTAATCTGCAAATTGAATAATATCACACAGTTTATTTTTACCAAATAATAGCAAAGCATTAATACTATTTTACAATTTTTTAAACTACCACTGTCGAAAATGAGGTATTATCATATCATTTTGTCAACACAGATCCAAGCTGTAATAATAATAAACAACTATGTGACATTAACCTAAAACTGAAGGCCACCCTGACACATAAATAGTCTCCAGCCACTAAGCCAGTCTCGGCCGAAGAGCCCACTTCATCTTCAGACACAAAGCTCTGTGATTAGAATTTGGTCCTGAAAAAAGGAGACACAGAAAGAGAGGGAGAGCGAGCAGTATGTGTCGTGAAGTGTTGCTATTACCGTCTCCATGGGCAACTAAAGAGGAATCCTGCCAATTCTGTGAGTAGGTTGTGTCTGGGAGGGAAGCGAAAGCACAATCCTTAAGGTATTATTCTAATTCAATGTCTGTCCAAGTCCACGGGAAAACATCCAGAAGAGAGAGAGGAACATTCGGCCCGCTGACAACCCAAGAGAGCGCTACTACCTGGGGAGAAACCCCACAGATACCCTGCCCGCTGAAGATACCATGTGCAATAGAGCACCTTAGCGGGAATCCATTTAAACTAGCACAACCGATGCCAGGAAAACACCAGGTGCATGCGACAAACCTCAACCTGTGGGAATGATCGTGGGCAACGGTGCAAAAACAATTCTGAGCGGAATCTTTTCATTATTTCTCTCAACTCAAACTGGAACAAATTAAAATAACACAAGTCAGATCAGGTGGTTTCATATAACATAAATAAAACTGTTAGATAAAGAAGAAAGTAAGAAAGAAATCCCAGTTTTGCCAAGCAGCAAGTGATTCTCAATGTGAAAACTCATGGTCTTTGAGAACAAAAGTTCACCCAAAAGTGAATGTACTCATCTCCAGGCTATCCAAAAGAATAGCAAAACATTAGGAAGACTTTTAGTTTAAATGCTTAACCTTTCCCTCCTATAATGATATGTACTGTGATTTGTATAATGCAAATAAAAAGATTGCCACTCAAGTCAAAATAACATATGTGGGCAAAACAAAACTAGTACATGTGCCTCCTGATAATGTTAAGTGAAATGATCAGTCCTACTAAGGGACCAAACGTTATTTACAACATATTTACATCAATTCCAAAGCCTCAGAAAATGCTTCTAAGCTTCCTGACAAAAATATGTGGTTGCACTAACTTATGCACATGTGCTGATACCATTTGTTTACAATGGTGAGGGTCAACTGCCCCTCCAAAATTTAATAATTGACATTATGAGATATCAGAACTATTTACTGACATTGTCAATGAAATGTATCAATGCTGTGAATAGGCCTGCACAATATATTGCTTGAGCATTGATATCACAATGTGTGCATCCACAATAGTCACATCGCAAGATATGCAATGTTGAGTTATGAATATAGATGGCCAGAATCCACAGGTCCAAACACATGAAATTTGTGGAGACGCTGCAGAATTGAACTATTATAGAGATAAGGTTTTAAAAGGTTTTAAAGAATATAAAAAGGCTATATAGAATATAAAATAAATTTTACTGAATTATTTATATGATGAAGACTATGCAATGCTCGTTTACATTTGATAATTCAATTTCTCTACCTGAATACTGTTGGACACTCCCCAGATAACCATAAAGCTTTGTATTTTGTTTATTACATGTATATAATTAATTACATAAAATACATTTATATTTCACTCCCATATAAATCATCCCAATGAATCTAAAGTATAGACTTTACAAACAGAGCTATTTAAGTCATGTGGTGAAATTGTATTTATATCCCAATATATATTGCATGGTAAATAATAATGTAAAAAATGTACCATATCATGCAGCTCTAGCTGTAAATACTGCTCCCACAAAGACAGTTTTGCTTCGGAAGATCTCAGTGCATCATAAGGAACCACAATATTCATTTAATTTTGCCCTGTATGTGTGTTTTGTTTTATTTTGACTGTCAAAGTGCCAGTAAACTATTCACTTTTTACAAAACACAAAGAACCACCACTTAAAATAAAAATTCTTCTTAATGTTCTGCTTTTTTTTAAAAAACAGTAACACTTCAGTTTAAGCACAAATTCCCACTCTTAAATGCTGGTACTTATAAAGTATGATCTTATTCAGCATCTCAAATACACAGCAATTAGTTCATTAAGAAAAAACTAGTTAATGGTTTGTTAACAGCAAGAATTGCACCATAAAATAAAGTGACCAAAAACGTACTGTACATCTTGGTTAGCATGATGGTGATTAAAAGAACAGCAATGTTTTGATTTTGTGTGAATGACCTCTCTATTCTCTAACTTTATAAATGCAATGAACCGCTGCTCCACATACTGACAAAGCTTAGCAGAGATCACAGAGCGCCACTCATAAATACAGAACAAGAGCAAAACTAGAATGACCTTTATAATCCTACATCCTACATCATTGGGTTACTGTATTTAAATTTGTGTGATTGTCATTTTATGGCATAACCATGAAGCAACTACTAGTTAATTTTTAATTCCATCAGCTTGAAAGAGCATTCCCTCTACCACCTCCAAAAAATCCACTCTACCATATTAATCAACTAACCAGGATAATTACTGCACTTGCAATTAATACTGTGACCAATACATCGGGATAATTGCATTTTGTGGCAGTTGTGCCTTTCTCCTCTCTGCTGCAGCCGACATCTCAATTAAGACATTCGACTTACTGATTACGATTTTTATGTTTGTCTTTCATTAGCAAGTCCTGTAAAAATCAATCCTGACTGTGTCAACCTTCATGCACAGACCTACTTCTATTTAGAGGTAATAATAACTGGATGTCTGCATAACAATGCACTCAAAATACGTCCACTTAAAATGCTATTCAAGCGGGATCACAAGCACACTTTAAATTACAATGTCTATTTCATAATATATTATCCATGTCATAATAATTAATTACCATGACATTTGCGAATTACAAGCAACATAAGATAAGCATTAAGTGCATTGTTGAACACATACAGTCCTACACAATTATGTATGCACAGTGTCATGATTCAGAATATATAGAAATAGGAAGTAAAACATGAGGTACCTAATGCCACAAATTATTTTGAGACGGTTTGAGTTAGGGCTGCATAATACAAAAAAAATCTGACATTGCAATATATTGTTATACTTATTGTTAATATATATTGCGATCTGAATACAATTTCACCAGATGACTTAAATATTTCTATTTGGAAAAAAAATTATCAATTTAGATTGATTAGGATGATTCTGTATGGGAGCGCATCTGCATATAATCTAATAAACACTCTATAAATACAATAAAGAAACAGATCGAATTAAAATAAACAGTACAATTTGCTGTCTAACAGTAATCAGGTAATTGAATAATAAAAATACACTCAAATTAATTACTTTTAAAGTTACAAACAGAACAATTTCTTATGCCTGGATGTTTTAAAATCACTATACAATCACAGGCCTCAAAAACAATGCAAATGATCAATTATAATAGAAAATCAACACTGTATTTCATGCAATGTGACTATTGTGAATGATCTTTTCAAAAAAGAATTTCTGTGCATATCTGTCTGTTTTTGAGACAGGTGAAGGACAAACAAAAAGGTCACCAGCATGGCACCATATGAAACTTGCCACAAAAAAAAAAATCTCAGTTTACTCACGGCAGTTCTCCTCATCGCTGTTGTCTGAGCAGTCATCATCATCATCACATCTCCAAGGAGTCGGGATACACCTGCCGTTCCTACACTGAAACTGACCGCTTTCACAGTCCAGATTAGTTCCTGTCATATAAGAAGTTGGAGTTAAAAGCAGTGCATGGGATTAAGTTATAACCAAGTAATAACCATAATAACTATTTAAATCCTTTGAAACCCACAATCTTTAACAGATTGTCACTTACATGTTTTTGACATATTTTAAATTAAAGATACATATTTAACTGTTGTTTAACGCATCCAACACTGCCATATGAATTCCAAAACAAACTGTTGGGAGTCATTCCATTATTACACATTCATATCTTCTGCACATTGTACATCCCAAAAAAACAAACTTCAAAAAGATCTGAAGCTAGGGTTATTAGGAATCACATGTTATAATAAACACATTTAGAACATTCCTGGCAATAGTTTTTTTTTTAACGATTTATACTTTAAGTTCTGTGAACAGCTGTTTGACAACACTATTACAAAAAATCTACGTGCACGTGCACTATGACAGCTCGCTGTAAATATATCGTAACCCATAACTGGTAGACGAGAAATGGCACGTGTGCAAAAGCAATTATTGTTATGTATGAATGACGCTGAAGACATTCAATGAGAGTTAAGTAAGAGAGAGTTAAGCACGTATGCATTGCTTTCAATGGTCCACTACAATGACAGACCTTGCTTGAAGAATATAGAGGTTACTATTATTACATTATTGCTTCGTGCTAGTAAACCTCCCCGCTAGCACGGCAAGACAAAACAACCCGCACGCGCACCAGACTGTCGTTTCTTTAAAACCCCAGCTGAATCAAGAGAATTGCGCGATTTAGCGCTCAAATGAGGTCTCGTCATCGAAAGTAGACGCACGCGGCTGCGTCGGTGTTTCTACAGCATCATTTACATTCATAACAGCGGGCTGTCAGCGTGAAACAGACACTCACCGTTCACCACCAGAAACCCCACGAATAGCCCATGTAGAAGCAGCAGTTTCCCTATAGCCGTCCACATGTTCACAAATCAAGGCTTTGTGCTCATACGAAATATAAAAAGGCCGTGCTGTACAGTCTGTAGCTCCGGTCTCCGTGCAGCCAGCGATCTGACTCTCCACAACCTCCACTCCGCTTTCGATAGCAGTTTGAATTGATGACGCCAACGCGGATAGGCGGGGTCGTGCGCGATGACTCGACCGTGTGGGCGGAGTTAGTGTTGATAAATTAAACAAAGCATGTCATCATCAGCCAGCACATCTTCAATGAGCGGACGTGCCTAGTGCTGTAGTAGTATAGACGTTACGTGGTATTGTGCTGAAAAATGCCATAGAAAACATAAACAGAGTTGATTCTTGAATGTTTGGGGTAATATTTCATTTTTAATTAAAATGTAACTTTGAAGTTGGGGTTAAACAGAGTGTTTATGTGTATGCCCGTGTTGTGTATTTGCATGTGTTTGGGCAGTTAAAATTTTCAGATATCTCTGCAATATTCATAACATTTCTCAGGCGCGTAGGCAGCCATGTAAAAGGGGTGGTTCTTTATTCTCAAAAAAGTGGACCTCTCTGCAGTTGTTTGCCTCATTTCATATTTAATTATGAGATTTAAATGCTAAATTTAGGTGACATATTATGTATTACTTTAGCTAATTAGCTTGTCGGATGGTCATCATAACTGAAAAAAAGTATAATAAAGAAATATGATAAATTGACAAATATATTGCATCATATATTATCAGAAAAAAAAATATTTTTTTTCGTATTATTAAAAACTGTAGCTGGCGACGCAGTGGCGCAGTAGGTAGTGCAGACACCTCACAGCAAGAAGATCGCTGGTTCGAGCCTCGGCTGGGTCAGTTTCTGTGTTGAGTTTGCATGTTCTCCCTGCGTTCGGGTTTTCTCCGGATGCTTCGGTTTCCCCCACAGTCCAAAGACATGCGGTACAGGTGAATTGGGTAGGCTAAACTGTTTGTAGTGTTTGAGTGTGAATGAGTGCGTGTGGAATGGATGTTTCCCAGAGATGGGTTGCGGCTGGAAGGGTATCCACTGCGTAAAAATGAGCTGGATAAGTTGGCGGTTCATTCCGCTGTGGTGACCCGGATTAATAAAGGGACTAAGCTGAAAAGAAAATGAATGAATGAAAAGCTGTAGCCTTTTGTAATTTGTTTGTTGTCACATTTAGCTTTTCTCAGTCAGAATGTGTTCATTTTAATAAAAAACAAATCTAAATATAACAAAACAACAACAATAATAATAATGATTTAAAGCTTCATGATTTTTCTAGCCTCTCTTGTAAAAAAGTACATTTGAAAATTAATGGATAACAATAAATGGAAAAATATACTTCAAATTGATTTTAATTTGGCCACTTTTGGTGCTTCACCTTTTAAATTGGTCATGTTTTCTTTTGAGAATAACGTCAAAGATTACGAATAAAAGGTCAAAACTTTTCTCTATATAAAAACAATGAGGTAGAGAAAGATGACTTTGCTTATGTCAGATGTTTTCTTGCACAGCTGGATGTTGGATGTGGAAAAATAATTGTTTGCATTGGCCAAAACTGATTAATCAGGATTTTGCTTGATTCTAAAACCCTTTTGGATGGGTTATTTTAACTATTTATGATGGCATAGCAGTCAAACTAGGTCCAGAATTCATGAGCTCATCTGTCCTTTGTCAGTTAAAGGTGGGTCTTCCAAACCACTCGAACGCCCCTGTCTACAGGCCTGATTTCTTAATTTTATCATTACAGTTATGATTAAGTAAGTTATGTTTTTTACTGTATTTTTTTAGACAATTTATTATGCATGAAGTATTTTCAGAAATTTATTTACCTATTTATGTACAGTTGAAGTCAGAATTATTAGCCCTCCTAAATTATTAGACCCCTGTTTATTTTTTCCCCCCAATTTCTGTTTAACGGAGTGTAGATTTTTTCAACACATTTCTAAATTAGTTTTAATAATTCATTTATAATAACTGTTTTATTTTATCTTTGTCATGATGACAGAAAATAATATTTCACTAGATATTTTCAAGACACTTCTATACAGCTTAAAGTGACATTTAAAGGTTTAACTAGGTTAATTAGGTTAACTAGGCAGGTTAGGGTAATTAGGCAAGTTATTGTATAATGATGGTCTGTTCTGTAGACAGTCGGGGGAAAAAATTGCTTAAAGGGGCTAATAGTTTAGTCCTTAAAATGGTGTTAAAAAGTTAAAAACTGCTTTTATTCTAGCCAAAATAAAACAAATACGACTTTCACCAGAAGAAAAAATATGATCAGACACACTGTGAAAATGTCCTTGCCTTGTTAAACATCATTTGGGGAAAAATTTAAAAACGAAAAGAAAAAATTCAAAGGGGGGCTAATAATTGACTTCAACAGTATGTATGAAGCTAGTTAGTTAGTTAGTATGCAAGTATAAGAACTCACATAAGAAAATTTATTTAAAGGGATAGTTCGGTGAAACTAAAAATTTTGTCATCATTTACTCTTCCTTTACTTGTTACAAACCTGTTTGAGCTTTATTTTTCAGTTCAACACAAACAATACATTTTTAACAATATTTAATTTTGTGTTCAACAGAAAAAGGAAATGGTTAAAGGAATGGAACCACTTAAGGAGAAGTTTAATGAGTATATTTTCTTTTTTGGGTAAATTATCTCCTTTAAGAACCGTCCCAGAAATCCCTGCAAGACTTATAACTTTAGTCTATTTCATATAAAATCTTATGTTGCTTCCCATTAAAAAAATATATAAGTGCACTGAAGTGTTGCATTATGTTGCATTATTTTAGATTCTGGTCTAACAGTCTGACTGGCATTATAAACAGGAAACTGTCGGGGGTCCCTGCAGTATGATGAATTGTTCCTCTTTCTTAAGTCTGAAAAAGAGAATGAAAAAAGTAAGAAAATGTGCAGAGAGAAAGAAGCTGAATGTTTTCTTCTTTCTTCTCTCTGTTGAGAAGGCATCATCAGTCAGTTGTCCTCTTTTCTCAAGTCTTCTTTTTGATATAATCACTGCTTATACTGTCGCTTCAGTTTATGCTAACTTAACCATACATGTGAATTAGTTTATTTTCTGTTTTAAAATTAATCACAAATAGTGAATTAAAGGAGAACAAGCCAAATGTATACCTTTTGTGTGATCTGCATGCTAATTTTATGTTCTTTCAGTTCAGAACTCTAATTTTTCATAAGTCATGCATGAAGTCTAAAAAACTGGCTATTGTCTGTCCCCAACTTTCTGTTTCAATTAGAAATAAATATTTGCTAATTATATTAAATCTGGAGACTACAAAAAATTCTTTTCTCATCTTGTCTTGTTTTTAGTTTAAATATCTTTAAAAATCTTAAATCAAGAAGCATTTTATAGACAAGCAAACATATTGATTCTTGATAAAAGAGTTTTTTTTTAGATATTTGGATTAGAAACAAGACAAAACTCCAAACTCTAACCAAAATTACACAATATGTTGGATAAGTAATTAGCCTAAATTGTATGTTATACACTGTTGTACAAATATTTGCAATTTTAATATGCCTTATTGTTTTTGTCATGAGCTATCAGCATCAATGTCTCCCTTCACTGCCATTCACAAAAGTCATATGCACACTGATGGACATGATGAACTGTTAAAAGTCACCAGAACAATTTTACCCTATGAGTATTGTGAAATCAATCATACTGTATGTGCATTGTTCACATTTTATGTAGGCTATTTTATGACTTCAATTTTCTTAAGTTTTATGAGGAATTATTTGATTACTTTTGCATTATTTTTCTACATACATTTTTCTTTCTTACACATATTTTTCCACTTTTCTACTATCATTTTAACAATGCTAAAATAAGAGGTTTTTGAATACATCTTTTCATCACCTAATAAATTAGATTATGCTTCAACATATGGATTATTAATAAACAAGCTCCTCAATAAAACATTTATAATATGAAAAAAACATAAAACAAAAATGCTTTATAACTTTATAACTAGTCAATACATTTAAAATACACTTTGAAATATGTATTGCAGTTTTTGTATTTGCATCTGTCATATTTAATGAAAATACATTAAAAAAATTTTAATTAATAAATTTACTTATATTATTTATTTATTTTTAATTAAAAATATATGTAATTCACAGAGTAATAAAAAAATAATGTCAACAAAATTAAGAAGTCTAAAACGCTGTGAGATTATCAGAACATAAGAGTGCAGGTCAGCTGAACAGCATTTTCCCTCTCTTTCAGTGGCAGAACTCGCCTAAACTGCCAGAACTGCTCGTTGCCAAGTTGCTGACCCAAAAAACAGAGAGATGTTTTGTCGATAACTGGCTGTTGGCCCACCAGCTATTCAGGTGAGAAACAGGATTTAAACATTAATGCATTAAAAGATATGACAGTGAAGAACTAGCTCTCTTCAATAACTTATGAGTAAAAACACAGACCTCGGCTTTGATGGAAATACACTATTTGATAACATTAATGTTTGATCATGTTTGCTGTTTGTTCAAATGACGTATTTAAAATGAGCTGAAACACAATTCTTGAGATTTTTTTGGCACAACTTAATTGATTTATGTTTAATCCACTTAAATTTGTAGTAACTAATAAGTTGTCCCAAAACAAATCGATTGTGTAGAACCCAGCACTTTTAAATTGAAGAACTGTACACAGTACAGTAAGTTGTTGATATTCTTTAGCTTGTCTATTTTAATGTGGTTTGTATGTTATATTCCAGTTGCTGATGTTTAAATAGTCCAGCGATTAGAATTTAATGAGGCATTTTACACAAATCACCTCAGTGGGTAAAAGGATGTGAAAGGAGGACCTTAGAGAAATGCATGAATTCATCACGTTTGCCAATCAGACTGGAAAGTGCGAGTGCCCTTATTATGCCTCAGACCCGACTCACGTTTCTGCTTCTGTGAATGCTTGCTGTCACCCAGGCATGAGAAGATGAGCTATTTCAGACACAGTGAATCATTGTGATGTTCTAATCTGGAAAACACTACATTAGATGTAAACCCATGAAACTTTTTAAAATCTTAAATTCATAAAACCTTAAGGAACCTATTATACCCCCTTTTACAAGTAAATATCTATGATGTCCCTAGAGTGTGTATGTAAAGTTTCAGCAAAAAAAAAAAAACTA